AATAAAGCAAATGTTTCCATGTCATTTGCTTTAGATAAATAGCACTCATAATCATCCAAATAAGAAGGCCTCTTTCGAATTCTTCCTGGTTGATTCAATTTCGGAGAAGATGAGGTTTCTTGTGTTTGTGTATTTGGCACAACATTAGGAGATCTTTGCGGACTGTATACTACATCATTTATTGTTGTTGGAGCTGGGACACGAGAAGTTATAGCTTCTTTTTGCACAGAAAATGAACTCTTTCATCATCCCATTTCCATTTTGCCGATTCTTCAAATATAACGTCTCTGAAGACTATTAGCTTCTTAGATTTTGGGTCTAAGAGACGGTAGCCTTTTGATTCATCATTATATCCCATAAAAAGATATTTTCTCCCTTTAGGATCGATCTTGTCTTTACCTTGATCTTTATTTAAGGCATATGCAATACATCTTAAAACTTTTAAATGACTAACAACCGGTTTTCTACCATTCCAAACTTCATAAGGAGTCTTGTTATGAACTACTTTAGTTGGAGAACGGTTGAGTATGTAAATAGCAGTATTTACAGTTTCGGCCCCTAATGTTTTAGGAAGAGCCTTTTCTTCCATCATGCTTCATGGATTTCTACAATTGTGCGATTCTTTCTTGAGACTGTTAATTGTCTTTTTATTCCTTCATTTCTACAATGCTCCATAAAAGGGTTATATATAAATTCACCCCCTCTATCAGTTCTTAATATATCCACTTTGTCTTTCAACTAATGCTTTAAATTGGAAAAATACATTGAAAGCATTTGACTTTTAATTGATAAAATATATCCACATCATACGGGTATAATCATCGACAAATAATAGAAAATACCTCTTATTCTGTAGAGAAGGATTTCTCGTGGGGCCAAATATATATGCATGTACTAATTCAAGAGAAGCTTTGGCTCTTCATGAAGTCTTTAGGAATGGAAGACGATGCATTTTTCCATATATACATCACAAACTTGAATATTTCTATCAATGTGTGGTAATCCCACAACCATGTTTTTTTGTTTCAATAGTTGTAATCCTTTTTAGTTCAAGTGTCCATAGCGTAAGTGTCATAGATAAGATTCATCCATAACATTTGTTTGCAATGCCAGCTTATTTTGTGGCATATGAAGAGGAAATTTTTTATTATCAGCCATTTGTACTTTTGCCAATATAGTATCAGATTTTTGGTCCATAACAATGCATTCCCCATTGTCTAAATTTGCTGAATATCCTCATTGAACAAGTTGTCCACACTTAGGAGATTATGTGTCAAATTAGGCGCATAAAGAACATCATGTATGTATTTTGTGTCATTTGATTTGTTATTAACAGCAATGACTCCTCTTCCTTCTACGTTTACCTTTTTCTCATCACCTAAGCTGACTTGATTTACTACAATGCTACACCCATATCTAACTTGATAAACATATCCTTATTTCCTGTCATGTAGTTGCTACAACCACTATCTAAAAACCATAAATTGTCAGGCTTATTTTGTGCATCCATGCATGTAAGGAATAATTGTTCACCTTCAGCATTTGCGGTGAAATTCGCTTCATTTGTATTATTTCCATTTTTATGCCAACAATCCTTTTGAGAATGACTCGAATTACGACATCTCTTACATCTAAAATAACATACAGATGATTGATGGTTAGACTTACCATAAATTCGACAAGAATTATTTGACCATTGTTAATGATTTTGATATTGTCCGCAACCTTTTCCTCGGCTTTGTCCTCCGCCACGGCTAAAATTTTGGGTACCACGACCTCTACCATATTGGTGTCTTCTTTGGTTTCCCCTTCTTTTCTCCGACTTTCCTTGATATTGTTTGTTTGATATGTTAAGTTAGGGATTGAAATGCTTAATTAACAAGTTGATCGGTATTTGCATTTCTTTTCAATGTTTGCTCATGTGATTCCAAAGATCCCATTAACTCGTGTATTGTGAGAGTTGACAAGTCCTTAGACTCTTCTATGATAAATGTGGCAGAATTATATTTTTTAGTCATACTTCTCAATACTTTTCGAACAACTCTTTTTTCTTCTAATGTATCACCGAGACTTCTTATTTGATTAACTATCTCTATGGCTTGTGAAAAATAAACTTGGATATTTTCTGTCTTTTGCATTTCCAGGTTATCAAAATCTCTCTATAGATTTTGTAATCTGACAGCAACAACTTTTCATTTCCTAGAAATCCTTGTTTTAATGTATCCCAAGCTTCTTTGGATTTTTTCAATCCATATAAGCGGCGAAATATAGTTTTATTCACGGCTGCATGAATATATCGTAATGCAAGTGCATCTTTTTTCTTGTTTTTCTTGTGTAGTTTTTGTTGTCCTTCATTTGGATTTTCTGGAAGGTCTTCATAGCCTCCTTCCACAAGCTCCCATAGATCTTGAGATATAAAGAATGTTTGCATTTGACTACTCCAATAGTCATAATGTTCTCCATCAAAAATAGGAAGAGTTGGTTGGGAATAAGAGAAAAATGGTGTTGATGTACCGGAAGCCATGATACAACTATTCCGACTATGATACCAAATTTGTTGGAGACAGCGGAAGTATAATGGGTATAAGGATCGGAAATATAAAAGATATATAAAAATATGTATATACTCCATCTATTTTATATTAATCGCAACAGTTTCTTTTAACATCCGTTTCATATTAATAGCAACACTTCTATATTTGAAAAGGACCCACTATTATTTTATAATTTCTCTCTCCCACTAACTCCACTTTCACAAATATTTTATTATTTCTCTTTCTTACCAACCCTACCTACACTACTTTTTTTTTTATTATTATTATGTCTATCTCTTACTAACAATATTTTATATTATAAGCCTATAAGCCTAGTCTATAATTTTTTTAAACTTTGAGTCAATCTTACCGTTGCGATTAATGCGAAATGGAGGGAGTATGAAATAAGCAGAGCTACTTTATTTAATAAAATGATAGAGATTGATTTAGAGAATTAAAGATATTATATTATGTTGTTATTCATTCTTATATTAGCTTAAATGAAAAATTATTACAACTTTTATAGAGTGCTACAAACTAAAATAAGATAGGTGATAAATCAATATTATTGTACGCCTTGCAAAGAAATAACATTTTACTATTTTATATTAAGATTCCCCTCTAATTTCTTTTTTATTGCAAATTAATCTCACAGTATCATGAAGCCATGGTTTTAGATCTCCAGCCGTGATCACAATAATGGTAGAACCATTTTTGTTGGCAGTGCGGATGGTTTGCGCTTGTTGCTGTCTAATATTGCGGTCGTAAGCTTAATAAGCTTACAATATCGTCGCAATGCAGCAATGCTACTATGTTAGCAGTTTTATCTATCCAAAGTGAAATCCTGATTCTGACAACTTTGGTAGTACCAATGTACCATAATAAATTGGTATTTGGTTTCTGCTTTAATGGGAAGGTCTGCCTGATGATAAAATTTTCTCTTGAAAATGTTAATTGTTGATACCAGGGGCCATGGTGATTTTATTCTTGTGCAAGCTATACATTGTGTGCAAAAACTTCTATAGCTTTCAATTTGTTTTCATTTCATATCGTGTATATATTATTCCGGCATAGTTTGCTGATCCTAATATCTTTGGTAATTTTACTGATAATATGTCTGAGAGCAGCCTGAACTTTTCTTCCAGAAAAGTACAAAAAAGTAAATTAACAATTTGACCTTGAGAGAAACCTAAATGAGTTTTTTTATAAACATGGGTTACACAAGTAAAAAACCTGAAAGTTTATGTGCTAATTCCCAACTTTGTCAACCGCACCTTCTGATACAGATTCCATCCAATACCATATTAAATAAGATAGAATCAGAACTTTTCCATCAAATGCTTGTTAGCATTCAACTATTAGATTTTTGTTTTCTGAATGATATGCAAAAAGTGTCACAATTTTATGAACTTTCGTTTTAAGGACTATGATTTTGAAAATTTGAATCTAGGTTTATGGAGCCTCTAATCTCCAAAGTCCCAATGATGGTTATTGAAGGCAATCACGAGATTGAGCCTCAAGCTGCTGGGGTGACATTTAAATCGTATCTCACAAGGTTTGCTGTTCCTTCAGAGGAAAGTGGCTCGAAATCTAATTTCTACTACTCTTTTGATGCCGGAGGTAATCATGTCATTATGTTGGGAGCTTATGTGGATTATGATAGGACGAGTGAGTTTTAGCTATTTCATAATTGTATTCTCCTTGCCTGTCCAACTGCTCTTTTATCTACAAATTTTGGCTCTTTATTTGAATTATCAGTGGTAGGTATTGGTTTGATAGTTGACCAGTCATATTCCTCACTTTCGTTATAGGTGCTCAGTATGCTTGGCTAGTGAAGGACCTTGAAAAAGTCAACCGGGATGTAACTCCTTGGCTGGTTGCTGCATGGCATTCTCCTTGGTATAATAGCTATTCGTCGCACTATCAGGAATTTGAGTGCATGAGACAAGAATTGGAAGCACTCCTATACCAGTATAAAGTTGACATTGTCTTTTCAGGTCATGTAAGTTGGCAAAGCAGCTTTTCTTAGAAGTAAGAAAGTACAAATAGTTGATGATTTATGAGGAATATTGAAGTCGTCTGAATTAGAAACTTGTTTGATATTAGTGATGCATGCAAATTAGTTTGCATATTAAGCTCTTTATTTTCACAAGACCAACAGTCCCATAATGTATTTCCTTTATCCTCATGAACCTACTATGCACAACTTTAGTTTAGCATTTTGGTGTCTTTAATCTTTAATAAGATGCCATGAGTACCATAATAGGCTCAGTAAATATCCACAGAAATTGTTTTAATGGTTTGACCTAAATATCGTGTTTTTCTCCCTTAAACATGTGTCATGTCTACTGTACTACTTTAAGGTAACTACCTGTCTACCTTCACTGGTATTTTGTAAGCTTCTGATAGATTAAGATGAAAGCAAGAACCATAGATAATTTAAGAAACATGATGTACAAATTTACGTACTGGCTAACTTGGGAAGACATCAAGCAACATCAGGAACCAAATTTAGTACAAAATACAAAGTCTTAACTATTGACATCCTAACTAAATTTCGTATTTTCAGGTTCATGCATAGGAGCGGATGAATCGTGTTTATGATTACACATTGGATCCGTGTGGTCCTGTTTACATAACAGTTGGAGATGGAGGGAATATCGAGAAAGTTGATGTTGATCACGCTGATGACTCAGGGAAGTGCCCAAAGCCCGGTGACAACGTACCTGAAATTGGTCCAGTGTGCCATTTAAATTTTTCTTCAGGTCCTGCAAAGGGAAAATTTTGCTGGGATACACAGCCTGAGTGGAGTGCATTCAGGGAGAGCAGCTTTGGACACGGAATACTTGAGGTGGGTCTGCAAGTCAATTAAGAAATATCTTTGACTAGAATGGAATTTTCTGGCTTGAAATGTAACCTGGTACCGATGAACTCATCCTTATTTATGCATAGCTGCTGCATGGTTTCTCATTTGACAGAATATTGTCTTTGCAAATGACTTTCTGTGTGAGTTTTTCTTTTCTGATTAGTGTGGCACTGTGTATGTGTCTGTAAATGCCGAAAGTTTAAACCAAATTGTATCATTATCTGATGCAGGTCTTGAATACTACGCATGCATTATGGACTTGGCACAGGAATCAGGATGTGTTCAGGGTTGATGTACGAGGTGATCACATATATATTGTCCGACAGCCAGAGTCCTGCAAACCCATTGGACAAGTAATTCTTTAAGGCAAGGCTCATTCTTTGTATAAAACAAATGGTTATCTTGCCTATGAATTCATTTGTGTTAACTATTCACCATTTTCTGAGTCTTCTTTAACACTAGATAACCAAGCTTGGAATATGGAAGCATATGTGATTTGTGAAGGCCCTTGACACTTCGTCCTTTGGGACTCTGTTATAGCATTATTACCTGAATCAGGTCATTTTTTCTTTATTACATTACATCATGCAAGATTTCGTCGAATAATATATAAAGTGATTTAAGGATCTTAGACTTGAGCTGCTAAACCATATTACTGTCAATAAAGTACTTTGTTGTTCGAGTTATTTATACTCCCTCCGTCCCATAATAGTTCCTATTGTGTTTTTTTCACGGTGTTTAAGAAATGGGAGGAGAAGTGGAAAAAGTACATTAAAGTGGACAAAAGCTAGACAAAAGTATAAGGCAAGTGAATAATTTAAGGAGAAAAGTGAAAAGTACAACTATAGGCAAAGTTAAAGAGAGAAAGTGAAAAAAAGTACAATGCAAGTGGATAATTTAAGGGTAAATTAGGAAGTTCAATGAATAAAGTTTAAAAAGTGAGTTTATAATGGTCTTTACATACTATCCAAAAATAGAAACAGGAACAAAGTTTTGGATCTCTAAAATAGGAAAATAGGAACTATATTACGGGATGGAGGGAGTAGTAGGAAAATCTTTAATTGATGAAAGTGTAGGTCTAACCGTAGGCATCAGTTCGAATTTGATAAACTAGTCATTATTACTTGTACAAGGTACACATAAGTGGGGCTTTTGTAAATATTTAATGACATCTTGTAGATAAATTTAATCACTAAGGGTTCGTTTGACATCGTTGCAGTTTTTTGTTTTTCAAAATTATATGATACATGTCGAATATTGAATTAAAAAATAATCAAACTTATTAATATCATGATAATTTTGAAAACTGACAACAAAAAAGTGGAAACACCTTTTTCTTGTTTCCTGTTTTTTTGCTTAAAAAAAACAGAAAACTGAAAACAAAAAACAAAAAACGATGTCAAACAAGCCCTAATATATAAACTTTGATTTCGTAGCCTACCACAAAACGATACTTGACATTTTAATTTTTCTCCAAATATCATGTCACACTAACACATGTGACACAGATAACATTAATTACACCAACTATGTAAAGATTGTTATATACACCTGGGTGCACGGTGCACCCAAGGGTATTTGGTTGCTCATTTGATGATGAAATGAACAATAATCATCAAAATGAACAAATAATACCTTTGCACCCGGGTGTATATAACAATTTCTATCAACCTTGATGCCACATAAACTAAGAATTTTTTTTAGCTAAATTCTAGCCTTTTTTTAAGAAATTTATTTATGAATAAAAAACTAAATAAAAGATAGATTAACATCACAATATGAACGACATCACTTATGAAGGGTGCATTATAATTTTGTAACTCGTTTTTAAACCCATTGATTTATTTTTAAGGAGACAAATTGTAAATAATATTACCTCCGTTAAGAGAATCTCTCAATCTCTAATAACGCTTGTCCTTGAGGACTCTAATAACCGACAATACTAACAGCTCTAGGTTGGTATCGTTAATAATATTGTTGGTATTCTTTATGATACCAGCGCCTTGTTGGTATTCTTTTAGATAATGACAAATCCTTCGTTGATATTCTTTTTTTTTTACCAACGGACCCTTTTTTATAACACTAGTTAAAATGATATTAGAATCAACTAATGTTCACTTATTTTTTTTATTAATAACTTGTAATGGTACTAGTTATCTCTGCTCTACTACTCATATATCAGAATAAATTAACATTCAAGTTTAATAGCCTACCATGCTTCGCAATATTAACTGTTAGGGAGTTTTGACTAATACCTGAACTTAGTCAACAATGGAACCTGCGTTCTTAGCTTCCTGCTTTACCAAGATAGCTAATCCCAACCTTGTCTTCCTTAGATCAGGTACAACACTTGTCTAATTCGTTTCCTACTTTAGATCGTAGTCTCTAATCAATCAATCAATCTATATTGTGTTTATGATGGAACTCTTAAATAGATAGATAGCTCATTTGAGATATAAGATTCGAGAGGATAACATTTCCTTCAGAAGAAACTTTTATTTAATTTAAAAAGATTACAACACTCATATATTACAACACTCTAACTAAAAGCTTAAACGGACATGACAAGAACTAGAACTTTTTCTCTACTTTAAGAAAGATGTAGAACCAATCTTTCTCTTAAGATGAGGATTTTTTCTAGAGGACTTTCTATGATTTATGAAAGACTCTATGAAACTCTCTTCAACCTTTCCTCTCCTTTGTTTCCTACAATCCTTTATATAGCAAAAGGATTCACACACCTTTGACACTCTATAGTGTCTTATGACTCAGCAACGGCTATAAGCCACTCCTTTTACAAAGATACTTTTACAATTAACGGTAATAATTTTTAAAACATGGCTATAGTATTATAACATGCTCTTTCTGTTTTTTGTTTGGCTTAGTCTTCCATTATCTTATCCATCATCATCTCTTGTAGGCCATCTTCGCTATCCTTGCTTTCTTCAGAGTGAATATACATGGGGTTTTTCAGGATTCCCTCTTCTATGCAGAAATTGGACACATTTGGCTGCACATATGACTCATCCCATGTTACAAAGATTTCAAACAGGTGTATTTTCCCTTCTAAGGATAAAAACTTTCCAGCTTCAACTTCTCATAATAATTAAGGATTAATTCACTAATGGCTACTCCTTCTAAATGAAATTTTAATCAATCTGAAACAACTATGGTTGTATTTCCTACATGAATTATGACTAGGGATTCTTAATTTATTACTAGAATTGAGTGAGACATTGAGCAATATAGAATAATCCATATGCTTTTGCTTCGGTAGGATCCCTTACTTGTTTTTGCTGGACACAGATTGGATCTTTCACCATTCGATGAACATTTTTAAGCATGATTATTAAGTAATGCGGAGACTTCCTTCAACTACTTCAATGTTTGCACATTGCACTTGGACTTATCAATTCTTCCTTTGTTTCTAGTTTCTTTAGAAATTCTAAAAGCCTATCTTTGGAACTCTATGAGTTTCCAAAAGAATGTAATATTATTATCAAAAAATGATACAATGCTATGAACCATTTCATAATCCCAAGCTCTATATTGTTTCACAAAATATGGTGCTACCCATCTAGAGTATGTAGATGAATTGACACAGTTCCTACTCTAAAGTTTGTGTCAAAGATTATCCTACTACCCCATAGATATATATAAAAAATAAAAATAAAAATAAAAATAAAATCATATGATTTGTAAGATCTTGATAATACTAGGTTGTACCAATATCTGAAATCGTTATCTCTTATTTTATTTAGTATTATATCTTAAATTTCCGAAACGAGTCGTAGAATTATGACCATTACTTTATTCTTAAGAAACCTTTGTACAACTAGTGACAGTTTTTCATCAAGCCATCTAAGATCTCTTTTTATGAACATGGCCTCCATTAAGGCCTAAATGGAGGGTGCTAACTTTTATACTCGTACTGATTTATCGTTTGCATTAACTTTTAGGGAAATTCTCATTGGTAGCCAACAAGTTTTGCTAATTATCTTTGGTGGTCAAAAACTTTTTAAATTATCTAAATTAGCCATATAATACTGTAACTTAATTAATTATAACATTATGAACCATTATAAGCCACTTTTAAGACTAATAAGTAACTATGGTTAACTTAAGTGTACTTAAGTAACACAATTACTATTACACCCTTACTTATTACTTTCCCTCCAAACTATAACCATCCTTTTTCCTCCAAAATCATTTTCCCTTCTTTATATAACCCTAAATTAGAGAAAACCCATTCATCTTCTCCGCCATTTTTTTACTACTCCGCATTCTCATGGGTTCATCTCATAGTTTTTAGCAAGAAAGGTTACCAAAGATTATAACATCAAGTATGTCAGGTTATTACCATCCAAAGCTATCATATGCCATCACAAAACAGAGCACGTTAAATTCAAGAACACGAAAGCAATTAACTCAATTGAAAACTTAGGGCGCTGAATATTTACGCAATAAAGATAGGATCTTTATTTGCAAATTCAACCACAACCCAGACGTCGTCCACCGAATCCAATCACAGCCCAGAATTTTGTAAACTCTAATGGTTGAAAAAAAAACCCCAATTCTACTACACCTTTGTTTTAAATTCAGAATTAATTAATCTCGAACCCTAGCTCTAAGGTTGAAGAAGTGAAAGGTAGAAGATGGTGTTTGAATTTCGAATTATGGTGGAGATGGATGGTTTCTGAATATGAGTAAATGAAAGTGTTTTTTGTAGTGGGAGAGAGAGAAGGAGAGTTAATACGCATAGAGAGCATTCATTACTTTTACAATAACGTAATGATGGTAACTTTTTTTTTTTTTTTTTTAATTGAAAATTAACCATATATAGGTTAACCATAGTTACTTATTAGTCTTAAAAGTGGCTAATAATGGTCTATAATATCATAATTGATTAAGTTACATTATTATATGGCTAATTTAGATAATTTTAAAAGTGTTTGGCCATCAAAGATAATTAGCAAAATTTAATGGCTATCGCCTATCAGTGAGAAGTTCCCTAACTTTTTTATACCCATATATCATAAGAGTACTTACTTTATTAATTGGCCGTAAACCCGCAGTTAGTCTGGTCTCCTGAAAAATTCTTTCCCCACCAAGTAACCCGACCCAAACGTAACCGTAGAAACCTCTCTTTGTACATTTTCCTTCCAACTTTCCTTCCCAATTTCCGATACCTTTCCTGTACTTAGGGCGTCCGTTTACCCAAAACGGTGTCGCTGCCCTACTCTTCTCTCTCTCTTCTTCTCCGATCTCTCTTTCTCTCTCCTCTCCTTTCATCCGCCATTGTTGTCTGCTCATCGCTTTTCTCGACGCTTTCTGTTTCATCTTTACCAACGACAATTATTTCTGCTTCCCCTCATTTTCGCGATTTTCTGTATTTCGATTTCCTACTTTTCGAAAGTCCCAGATTTTTCTGGCGCTCCTTTTTACGACAGATCGCTATTTCACTCCTTTCTCTTTCCTTTTTCTGAAGCTTTGAAATCGTCGAAAATCATCTTCATATTCTATTAAATTTTTCAATAGTTCATTTTCTCAGGTGGGTTTCTTCAATTTTAATTTCTGATCTGTAAATTTGTCAATTTTATGAACTGGATTAATTTTTGTATGTTGTTAATTTCTGGGTGTAATTTAATTTTGAAATTGGGATTGAATGGTGTAGGATATAGTTGCTGAGCAATGGCTGGGGAACCTGATAAGAATGTAGAGAGTGTAGCTGATAAATCCGCCATTGTTGCTGCTGGTGATGAAAAACCCAAAGATGAGAAGAAGAAATCAAAAGATGTTTCTAAGAAGAAAAAGGAGAAGGGGTTTTTGGCTCGATTGTGGAATGGATTATTCGGGTCTCGAAAAGACGATTTCGAGCGAAGACTGGAGCGAATTTCGAAAGAAGAGAAGATAATTATTAGTAGAATGAGGAGGAGAGCTCAGAATTGGGGAAGTTTGAAGCGAAGTATTATTCTGTTTTCTGTGCTTTTGGAGGTGAGGCTTTATAATCTGTGTTTTTTGGGCATTTTTGTTGTAGGATCAGGTTTGTTTTTACTATTATGAATGATATATGCTCATATTCGATTTCTGTGAGCAAATTGATCGATTTTCGGGGTTGATATCATGTAAAATGTAGTTTAAATTCGAACTTTCAGCTTTTCTAAGTTTTGCTTGATTTGAAATTATAAATCCAATGTCTGCATTGCTCTGAATGCCATTGTTATTGAGAGATATTGTTTGATATGTCTACTGTTATGTTGCTATATAATTGTCTGCATTTTTTGGTGTACTTGATCATGGTTAGTTCAGCATGTCTGATTGTTATGGTGGTGGTTATACTTTGTTTTCAGATTGTTGCTGTGGGTTATGCTATCATGACAGCAAGGACAGCAGAAAACTGGAAGATTCGGGCTTTTCGGGTTCTGCCAATGTTTCTTTTGCCTGCTTTATCTGCTATTATATTTTCAGGGTTATCAAGCTTCATAAGCATGCGTAAGTTTTAGTATTTGTTGTTAAGTATGATGCAATATTGAGCTCTAGTTGTCCTGTTTGTTAAACTGTAGATTTGCATTAATTTTAGTATAGTGCGCTTTGATTTGATCAACCCATACGTCTCTTTACCTTAAAAAAATCAGTTTAGATGATTTTCAATCGGGTCCAATAAGTTCCAATAAGTATTACCCACTCAAGTTTGCTCTCTTCTGAATAGGTTCAATAAGTTTACCCTCTTCCAATACGTCCAATAAGTTTACATTAGATCTAATAAGTTTAGATAGGTTTAGTTTATATTTCAGGTGAAGAAAGTGAATCCTTAATGTTTATCTATGTGATTGTCTAATATACCCCCTCCCCCCATGTTATTACATTGGTTGTTGAGAACGTCGAATGATACTTGCAACATAATCTTTGTGCATTCACTTATATATCTAGATGGTTGTGAGTAGAACTGGCAAACGGGTCGTTCGAGTCGGGTTAATTACGGGTAAATCAATATTCGGGTCGGGTTGGGTCAACTCGGGTTTCGGGTTAGTTTTAGGTCGATGGTATTTCGGATGGGGTCGGGTAACATTTTGGGTCAAGTTTGGGTCGGGTTGAGTTCGGGTCGGTTAGTCTTTGAGTCCATTTGTCGTGTCAAGTTCGGGTCGGGTCAAATTTGGGTCGGGTCGAGTTAGTTCAGGTTGGGCCAATCTTCATCTAAGTCGATGTAGAAATTTGACCAATAATATATTATTATCAATAAGTATAAAGTATAACAATTGGATATTAATAAAATATTCATTAGACAATTCTAACAGTGTTATACACACTAAGGTTGTATTGTTTCATATGTATAATCACTATCATTGATTAATTGGTCAAAATTCAAATTAGATAAAGTGAATAGTGGGGAAAAAAAAAAATTTCAATGTACTCCCTTCGTCCCAAAATACTTGGGACGTTGGGGTAGACACGTAGTTTAAGAAAACTACTAGCGGATCCATTTAAAATAGTTGTTTATTAGTGGTCCTATTTCATAGTTAGTAACGTGTCAAGTATTTTTGAGACGGACGAAAATGAAAAATGAATCAAATATTCTAGGACAGAGGGAGTAACACTTAAAAGAAGAAGCTAACAGTAATTGTAGAATAACAATAACAAGTGTTCCTAATCAAGTGGAACTCTTTATGAATTATGAGTACTAAATTACACACACATTCCAACAGCACTTACACACAAGATTATAATGTTTAGGTTATTTTCGATAAGTGTTTATTCGGGTAAAGTAATTAAGCCCTAAATATGTTAGGTCATTTTGAGTATTAGTTAATTTCGGGTCGAGTCATTTCGGGTAAAGTTCGGGTCGCTTCGGGTTTCGGGTCCGTTTAGGTCAATCAATTCGGGTCGGGTTGCTTCGGGTTTCGGGTCACTTCGGGTTGGGTGGCTTCAGGTATTGGGTCAACTTCGGGTCGGGTCAATTTAGGTATCGGGTCACTTCGAGTCAGGTTACTTTGGGTCGGGTCAATTAGGGTATCGGGTCAAGTTCGGGTCAACTCCACTTCGGGTCGGGTCGGGTTAGTTAAGTGTTCGGGTCAATTTCGGGTTTATGTTTTCGGGTCAATTTCGAGCACTGTACATTGTAGGCTAAATTTGCTACCCTCAACCCATAACAATATTAAAATAAAACATTAAGCCTACTTCCTTCGGTTATCTATAGAAGCATGGTTTACATTTTCTAACTACTGTATTTACAAATCCTACTTTGATTATCCTTGATGATATATACTTTAAATAAAACATAGTCATGTGGGATTTTGTTGGAATGTTATTAATTTATATATCAAATTATCACATTTCTATAATTTTCACTCATTGGTATTTAAGTACTTCCTCCGTTTTTTTTAGTTGCATCACTTTGCAAATTGCGGACTTTTAGGCAATGTTTGGAGATGAGAGAGATAGAGAGAAAAAAAGAATGGACCCATGTGATAAGAGAGAGATAGAGAGAGTTTATTAACTAAAAAGGAAAGTGATGCAACTAATTGAAATTTCCGTTTTAGAAAAGTGAAGCAACTAATAAGAAACGGAGGAAGTAATAAATATTGACAATCGAAGTATACATTGGCAATTGTAAAAGTAGAAGTTTTCGTATATTTTGCAGATGGTCATGTGACTCATGCCCCTTAATGAGGAAAATTTTCATTTTATTACTCAAGGTTGAAATTTTGGAAGGGTGATTTTCTCTCACCAATGATGGATTAGCCTTATAATATTTGTAATTAAGAGTTAAGACAATAAGAAGTTACAAATTATTTGATTCTAGGATAATCATGTTTTATTTATGAATGCTATGAGATAATGCAAGATATGTGGATGATTGGAGTGCTAAGTGGCCAAGAAGAGACATGCTCAAAAAGACCTCATAATTTTTGGGTTAAAGATAGATTTATCATGTTTTTTTGCTCATAAAGGCCTCAATACGATTATTTGAAAAAACATAGTCAAAGCATGTTTGTAAACACAATCATGCTAAAAAACTGTGTAATGGTGTAAAACTGTGCTGCTTTTTTGAATGTGTGGACAACTTTTAGGAGCATCAAATTAAATTTCTGGATAATATTTATATTATGGTCATGCGTACGGAGATTGTGTACTTTGGTCTAAAGATAAGCAAATGCCAAAAATGTGCTAATTTGATCTCTTAGTTAGACCATCTTACTTTCAACACAAATGACTATAGTGTAATTGTGAAATGTGACTCTTTGTGTACGTATAAGAAGTATTCTTGCTAAAAGCTTCATTTCTGAAGGATACAGTAAATGCAGTGTTTATTTGTATTTCTTTTACTGGGTTTGTGAATGTGCCATCTAAGCATAGGATATCTCTTGTTCCTTCTTGCTTTCGCCTTGTGGCTTTAGAATACTTCTGAGGTAGATGTCATGTATTCATCTAAAGAGTCAAGATTATACTAAATTATTTATTTTGGTGCTTTCCCTATTCAGGAAGCTTTTTGTTTAGGTTCCTTCTGAACATTTTTCTCGGAGTAGCTTTTTTTTGTTTTTTTATTTTATTTATTATTTTTTTTTTTATTTTGACAGGCGAAGGGGAGGGGCTTTTGCTGATTTCTAATACTCGTATTTGTTGTGAAATGCTGCTATCTTTATCACAGCAAGAATATTCCTGATGTTTCTGTTATGCCTCTTGTTGATTTGCATATTACACCTGTCATCCCACATAAGTATTTGGCCTTTCTCATTGATTCAACAAGGTTATTAACGATCTTTTGAAAAATATTTATACAACATAGATTACCTCGAATAAACTTTTAAGTATATGGATTATTATTAATGTTATACGTTTAAAGATTTTTTAAGGGCATTTATGGTTAATTAGAAGATTATGTTATCGTTAATTGATTCATTGGAACCTTAGTTGGGAATTTGTCATTGATTAATAATATTTCTTGTAGCTAATAGAGACTCTTTGAAATTATACATAAAAGGCTTTAAACATCAGGTAGCAGGTAATGGTAACATGCTTGCTATAGCTGAAACTTGTTTGTTGGCAGATGTTTTAGCTCTTTTAGGGTGTGACTTGCCAAACTAAAAGTTGTTTGATGATCACATTGCTTCCAAATAAGTATTTGACGTTTTGAAGAAATTTTTATTTTTCCCCTAAAGTAAACAAAGGAGGATTTGTACATAATGGCATAGGAATGTGCCTAGGGGTGTAAATGCATTAAGATTGTCATTGAACACTCATTTTTGTTCTGTTGATGATGAACTCAAATAATAACATAGGGATTCATTTATATTGATTTTTGTATAAATAAATTCATTTATTAAGTTATGACCAGCATACTATATAAAATTTGACTACAGGGCTATTTTATTTGAAGATTTATAAATTATAGTAGAACATAATTCTTTAATAAGCTTCACTTGATAAATAAAGGAGTGAAGCTGAAATATTCTAATTTCAAATGAACTAAACAAAGTTTGAATTTAAGCTAGATTTTGACTAAATTGAGTTTGAATGTGGCCAGGGTGATACTTGGTTTATCTTGATGCATTTGTATCCTTATATGTGTATGTAACTTTTTATTGACCTTTTTTGTCACCAAAAAAAACAAAAAACAAAACCCCTTTTTATTGACCTCTCATGTAGGCACTCTTTGGAAAATAGCATGTTCAATAGCCTTTTGGCATTGTTGAGCCTTTTGTCACAAAATCAAAATGCTAGATATCTGTTGGAAATCTTTTAGATTAGCATTTTATAGATTTGACCTAAAGTGCTACATTGCATAGTGTAATTGGAACAAGCACCAATATGCACTATCATATTGGTTCCTCCCTAAGATATTGTTGCTTTACATTTGATGAGCTATTGAGCTGTCAACTGCTAAATTAACGCCAATAATTATTAACTATTCGTATATCCTGCCAGAAAATTGTGAATGTCAATTCTTTCTCAGTGAGATAATTGCTAACTATGCTTTTGGCATTGTGACAAACAAGTTCAGACGAGAACTGTAAATCTTATATGTAGATATGGTAATCTTGACTATAAGTATATATGCTTGCTGCTGTGTCAAGCTAATGGTGATTCTTTTTCAAATGTCTTTGTTCACTGTGAACTCATTAGCCATCTTTGAAGAAAGACCTTTCAGTGTATAGAGAGGACACTTGGGTGTGCTGTTCGAACAATCAGGACTGGTTACAGATTCGGTTTGTGGGTTTAGATTAGGTGAAGGGGAGGAGAGGTTGCTTTGGCAAAATGCGGTGATGGCAAGTTTGTTGTCGTTTGCCTTGAAAGAAATGGTTGGATTTATAAAAGTCTCTCCCTCATGATTTGCTTTGGGATATATCGACTTTGCTAACTTCTTTATATTGACCTTGGGATTTGTGCGTTTGGCTAGAAAGAAATGGTTAAATTTTTAAAACCTTGAGTATAAGAGTAGTCATTTATCACAAGCTATTTCTATTAGGCCATGTGTTCCAGTGTTGTTATGCCATGTTGCTGCATTAATTTTCTGCTCTGGCTAGTAAACTTTCCAAATAAACTTTGTTCTGCACTTTTCTCAATATTTGTTTCCTTGTGCAGGTGAACGAAAGGATCAGAAAACTTTGGAAAAGCTTCAGACTGAGAGGCAATCAAAAATTGACGAGCTTAAAGAGAGGACCAATTTTTATCTAACTCAGCAGCTTATTCAGGTAGGATTATTAGTTAGATTTCAACTTTTGAATGTGTCCACACTATGAAGGGCCTTTATTGGTTTTATCTTGGAAAATTATATTCTAATTTTTTCCATACGTGTTTTACTAGCACTTACATACTCTTAAGAGGGTGGACCAAGAGTCAAAGAAAAATGTTTGTAATAAATTTTTGATAGAAAAAAGCTTTTGATATGGGAGGTTGCTTTGTAGTTTTCTATTCATCTCCACGAGGGACTCGACTGCTCTTTGATTCACCAGAATAGCTGGTATATGAGGTTTTCCTGTCACAGAATGTCTGTTGGTCCTATAGAAATTCTTAAAGGATGTATATTGGAGAGAAAGGGTTTGAACATGCACCTGCTTGACTCAGTGGTGCATTTTTTGGCTGAGCCATCAGCAAGGATGAGAATGGAGAGAAATATGGTGGCGGACTGGCGGTAGTATTGAAAGAGAACAGGCAGCACGGTGGCCCAAATAAAGCTTCATGGCATAAGGGGGGAGGCAATGGAGGTGGAGAAAAGGGAAATGGGGGTAGGGGGTAGTGCTTTGGCAAGGAGAGAAGGGTTGGGATTGGAAGTGTTGGTGATGGGATGCCGATGGGGCAACATTGGTAAACAGGTGGGTAGTGGACTGGCAAAGTTCTTGAAAATATATCACATTGCTATTTGAATATTTTATATAAGTTATTCCATATCTTTCTGCACTCTACAGTGGATTCCTTGGATAGTGCATAAAGTTTTATTGCTACTTTGACACTAAATGAAAGAGTATGTTTAGCTCAAGCCTTGATGGAATCTGCATTTACTAGCGCTTCATATGAAATTTAGGAAGATGAGACTAATACTTTAGTGCACCTGTAAAATAATATTGGTATATTTGTTTTTGGTAAAATACAGTTGGTACATCTGGTACTTGCTACTGTAGTTGATGCCAAGCATTGATGACTATTAATGAAAAACGGAAATGGATAATATTTTCTCAGAACTTTTCTAAGTAATATATTGACCGGGCAACTTACATGAAGCTGTGTCTACTTTTATACCCTCTTTTTCAATAATTCCAATTTTCCTACATTGGCAGAGATATGACACCGATCCTGCAGCTAAAGCAGCAGCAGCTGCTGTTTTGGCATCCAAATACACAGAAGGCACAGGATTGAAACTCTCTCTTCCAGAGGATTCTGAAGTTGATGCTGGAAAAAGCAATGATGTTGAACTGGTCCAATCTAGTGGCCTTAGAAATAGGAAACAGCCACAAGGAAGAGGAACTAGCCCAGGAGGCACAACAATTCAGCATCCTGCTGAAACATACCCACAAACAGGCAGTGAATATGCCCAGCATAACCAACAGGCTTATGTTGATCATTTTCAAGGGCAAGGAGCCACTGCATATAATAGTGGATGGTTGTCTCGGATTGCAGCAGTGCTTGTCGGTGAAGATCCAACCCAATGTTATGCTCTCATATGTGGTAACTGCCATATGCACAATGGTGAGTGATATCTGCTGATGTAAAGTCATGTAGCATTCCATTTCTTTAGAATATGGTCAAATTTATTTAATTGTCTGGTTTTGTGCAGGGCTTGCAAGTAAAGAAGATTTCCCATATGTAACCTATATCTGCCCACATTGCCATGCTGTAAATGGGCCAAGGATCCAACAAGAGCATTCGTCTGGTACCGATGCTTCTAATATGGGTTCAGTTGTTTCAGCTGATCATGGCCATGCTACCAGAGGTGTTGTTGATTCTCCACATGATAACACAGTTGATGATGTTAATGGTGAAACTGTTTCTACGCCTGCGCTTGCTAAAGCTAGTGAAAAGACTGAAGTACCAGCAGAAGGTAATGAGAGTTGAAGACATTGATTGTTTTTATGAATGTGAAGACATTTCCTGGTTGTTTGAATCAGTTCATTTCAGAAGGCAAGGGCTGACGGGGATGCTGATTATGAATATATATGCCTCTAGTTAGGGGTTTTTGTGATATTCTATTGTGGTTATACTACTTGTAAACATACAAATGTAGGATGTTTATGACTGCAATACAGGTGTAGTTTTTTCAATTGGCCAGCCACTATATTAAATTTGAGGCTAGCAAACTGAATTTCAGTGCATCTACGAGAGCGTGATGATTACATGATGATGGTAATGAGGAGTTTTCTGTGCTGTGAAAGCAGTAATATTGATTTATTGCAATTTGAATCTGCATCATGTATGATTTGCTGATGAATTTGCTATTAGGTTCGCCAAATTACTATTTCTTATATTGGTTTTCTTATCATCTTGAACTAAGTAATAATTTGAGTTTACTAATAGGCCTAGCTAGTCATTAGTTGAAGGTCCCCCAGAAATGGATTTGGGATTTGGTTTATCAGCCGAAGAAAGACATGAAACTGCTAGGTTGCAGGATTTTAAACCTATGGCTCCTTCTACCCAGATGTGCTGACCCGACTGCTATGTGGGAACACTGGGACTGGGAAGTGGGCAACAGCCTAGCTTGATGCATATGCAGCGTGCCAAGCTTTAGGTTCTTCCGGAGGCCTCTTTGGACTGATGCATAGTGAATTGTGTTGAAGACAATTTACTAACAAAAGATTAAGGAAATAATAGTTGCCCTTTCAAGTGTCAAGGGTATGGCCACATAGCTAAACAATGTCTCTAACTTGATTGTTTCTAACTCTCTTGACCTTTTCTCTCTCTAACCCCATCCCTATCCTTTCACCGCCTCCACCGCCCCCTTTTTTCTCAGGCCCTGCTCCCCGGCGACTAGCGCGTTTTGGCTAGCCGTTGTCGACAAACGCAATCCTTCAGTTAATTATTTTCATTTTTTGCTGTTTAATTTTTTGTTTTTTGGTCTGTTGGTGAAGAATACAGGGGGATCGTCCTCTTTGGTGGTTTTGTTGAACTCGGTATATCGTAAAGTGTTTTGCGGCTTGCTTCAACGAATCAAGAACCAAAGGCTATTCTTAACGCTGTCGTCGAAAGGAACTTAGTTTATTAATTTCCGGACGGTAAAGGTGAAGTTAAAACTAGGGTATACTCGCGTATCCAAGGTTAGGTTTAGTGAGGGGTTCTTATTGCGTTGCCGTTGACAATTGTTCTTGGTGTTAGGTTTGGTTTCTACCGGTGAGGTATTATCAGGTTCTCGTTGCCTTTCGTGTGTTCTCACGCATGTTTGTGTGTTTGATTTCTTTTAGTTATTGGTTTGCTTTAGTTTAATTATGTTGTTCTTGTATAAGTTGCTTGTTTTGTTGATTGGGTTTTTGGTTTTAAATAATTCTCTTTCTCTGCTTGGTCATGAGTTAGAGTTCTACCGGGTAGTTCTAGTTTTGGAAGTTAACAAAGTGTTGTCGTGGTCTTTTGAGCCTTGTTGGTTGGTTTTAAGGGTTGTAACATTAAGCAATCCCTTGTTAGTTAGGTTGGTGGTCCTACTAGTAGCCTTGTCGGGGTGTGATTATGTTCCCCTGATAGTTAAAACAGTTCTCCAGGGGATGAAGTTATTTGCACAGGTGGATGGTTGTTTTCCCTGTATATGCTATTTGCAGGAGGAGCGTGGTTTTGGGGGAAGAGTTTGGTTTGTTGTTCTTGTTGCTAGGTTGTGGGATGATATGGGCATTCATGCAATTGCTATCATCCCTTTGTTAGTTTTGGTGATTACAAAGTCAGTCATCACTGTCAATCAATATCTTGAAGGAGGCTACCCATCTTTGATGTTTGGGTTTAGCAAAGTCTTCCTTTTTCTTGCATTCTCTGTTGGTAGAGTTGCAAGAAGAGAACCTGCATTTGGATGCATGGTTTCTCATAGTAGAGTCGTTAAAGCATATGACTCTATGGGTTTTGTTCCTAGACTCCTAGGATGCGGCTATGGTTTTCAACCCCTAGGAGTGGAATGGTGTCAAAGGTCCGTTCTTCAGCAACAGGGTGCATATTTTTGGTTCTTCCGTCTCCGAACAATTTGCATCATGATTTTCCTTCGGTGTCAATGCCAATTCGAGTTCTCTTCAATGTTCATGACCTGAGCTCTTGGTCCATCTCGACTATTGCAGTTAATTTAGCTTCTCTTAGTCCATAGTATAGATATGGTGGGCTCTACAGCTGTTGGTTTGCTTCACGACTTTTTCAATATTTTGTCTCTCTTCGTTCTTCCTATAATGGTAGGTAGTAAGCCTTGTACGAGGGTTTGTTTAGGCGTGTTGCTTAGCTCTCTTAGGTTGTATTCCTGTTTTCATTTATGAAGTTCTCTTTGACAAAAAAAAAAAAAAAATTGTTTCTTTTGATGATCTTACACGTGACCAGGAGGTTTTGTCAGTGAAAGAACGAACATTGCCTACTACCTCTACGCCTAACTATTCATATTTGGAGGATTCTTTGTTCCATGATACGGAGTCTTAGTACAACCTGTGTGAGGAAAGGTTTTGCATATGCAGGCCACACAAATTGTTGATTTGGAGAAGCAAGAGAATCTCTTCCATACTCGGTGCTAAACAATAAATAGTAGCTCCAGCACTTATGTCATGGACAATAAGCTAGTTGATGAATGATGAGTGAAAATTGCTAACTGTTGCTCATGAAGTCAACAATCAGAATTGTGTTAATATTATTCAAGATGCAATGTGCCTAACAGAATTTTACGACCATACTTATTAGAATAGATGGAATCAACTATCAGAATTGTGTTAATATTAATCAAGAAAATTTAAACACAATCTAAACTGTGATTTGCCTTTTGATATGGTGTAGCCACAAATCATAAACAAGGCCATTTACATGCACATTCTTCCACTGCATAAATTTACACGCATACTAAATCTCGACGAACTTGTCATATTTAAAGAAGTACAAAACTGCCTTTAAACACTATTCTAGATGTTTAAATCACATTGATACAATATTTACTAGAAGTACATGACTACTAATCATCGCAGCAAAACGACCTGAAATACGAGCACACACATGCAAACAATTCAGCATTTGAATTGTTGTCCATCGTCTTCCAACTGCATTGTGATGAAACAGTCACTGCAATTTATTCACCTATCAAATAATCAACACAATAACACATATGCAAACATCTGTCTCTACTCCTATTCGGAGACGGTAGTTCAAATTACACTATCACCGTGACTAGTGACTATTGATGTAAACAAACATAACCCATCAGAATTAGACGTATATAAACGTCTCTCTACTCCTATTCGGAGACAGTTTAAATTACACTATCGCCGTGATTATTCCTGAAAATAAACATAAATATCAAAACCATCAGAAAACAACCAAATAATCACCTCCAAATTAAAAATTGTAAGTAAAATTCATGTACTATGAATAAAACCCTGTAATATCCAAAAAAATCATAGTAACACCATACCCTAACTTTAATCAAAAAATTCAAAAACCGAAAAAACCCAAATTTTAAAAATCATCACAATAGTATTTTAACAAACAAATAAACAAATTCCAAAATCACATTTATTAAAAAAAACTCAAATAAAAATTAAAAAAAATCGATTTGAAAAACCCAGAAAAACGAAAGAAAATAAGTTGGATTAATTTTGGTGAAAGCCCGCACATCCGTCATAGCCATGAGGCTCAGAAAGCGGGCAGTCTTCATCGCGAGAGGAGCCGCCGGAGACAGCAGAGCCGCCATCTACTCAGCCGCGGGCCGAGCGGGTAGCTTTGACTGAAACCGGGCTTTACCCCAATCTGCTCAGATAAGATCAAGTAGTTTTGATGCTTTTTCTTAGGGTTTTAGCTTTCTTTATATATGACACCAGTTTCTCGTCACTTTTGGGTAATTTCGTAATTGTGTCATTTTCTTTTTCGGAAAGAAAAAATAAGGTAAATTCTCAACGATGACCCCTAACTTCTGTTACGCACCAAGGGTGACCTTCCTTTTTTTTTTTTTATTATTATTATTATTATTATTGTTATTATTATACAAAATGACCTTAATAAAGAATGACATTAATGAGTGTTATTTACTTTAAAGAAACTAACTATGTTTAACTTTGAAAAAAAAAAAAAAAATTAAAAACCACCAACCCAGACACCACCTTCACCCTCATCCCCACCAGATGTAGCAAGCACCACCTCCACCCTCATCGGAGCCACCGAACCCCTTAATCTGGAACGCCGACTTCCCACCCAAACCGTCGAACCATCGCCTCCACCCTTTTCACCGCCTAGACCCGAAACCTAACCTCACAACTCTTTCTCCTCTAACCATTCCTTCTCTAACCTTCGATTCTCGCCGCTTCGCCGTGGGGTTGGTTTTGGTTGAGGAGGGATGGTGGGTTTTGGTTGAGGAGGATGGTGGGTTTAGATGGCGGAAGATAAAGAGAGAGAGGATGGAAGAGATGGCAGAGAAGAAAGAGAGAGAGATCGGTGGTTTGGGGGTGGTCGTGGTTTGGGTTCGGCGGTCCGGGGGTGGTCGGGGTTCTGGGTTCGGCGATCTAGTGGTGGTGACGGTGAGAAAGAGGAGAGGGAAGGAGGGTTGTGGGCGAGGATTTGGGAATTTGGCTTAGTGGTGGTCGAGGTGGAGTTGGTGCAGTGTCACCGACGGTCGGGGGGAGCCTAGTTAGCGTTGCCGGCTATCGGAGAAACCTGGGGTAGTGTCGTCAGAAGGGAGATGGTTGCTGGGGCAGGTGGTGGCTGGGGTTAATTTTTTTTCTTTTTTTAAAATATAAATCTAACCATAGTTAATATTTAATGAAATAAGGTTATGAGTGAGATGAAATTTTTAACTAAGGTCATTTTATATAATAAAAAAAAGGGAGGTCGCCATTGGTGCGTAGCAGAAGTTGTGGGTCACCATTGAGAATTTCCTAATAATAATAATTGTTGTGCAGATGCGCGGAATATGACACGACACTCTCTTACTTCTGATTTGATTATTTTCTTGGAGGCTGAGACGACCTTTCGTCGTATGGGAATTTGGCTTTGTGGGGAGTGTTTCAAGACACATACTCTTCGTACGAAGTGTCGGCATGGTCCTAGCTCTGATGATTTTGTGGCCCCACCTGATTCGGGGGATGGTGTTATTCGGTTTGTTCTTTATGGCTTTCCTAAACCGCATGATCCTTCTTCGGAGGTATCTAATCATGATCCTAGTGTGCCTCGTGAGCCTCATTTTGCTTTCGACGTTGCTCTCCTTGATAGTTTGCTATCTAAGCGGTTTCGTTCAGTGAAATCTATCCCTCCTAAGTGTCGCTTGGGTTTTTCTAGGGTTCTCAAAGGAGCGCTTGATAAGGTGATTTGTAAGCCTGATGACATCTCTTGCTGGATTCAATTGCTTGTGTTGCCTCTTTGTGTCCTTAAAACCTTTTCTCCGCGAAGTAATCGTGAGTGTTCTTCGGGTATCAAGCGTCAGCGGCAGGAAGAGAGTATCTCCGCTGCTATTCGTTCTTGGTGTATGCCTAGTGAAACTATGCAGCTTGTGCGGGACACGTTGGCTGATGTGTCTCCACTTTTATTGGATGCTGATGAGGACCATGATTTGTCTGAGCGTAATATTAAGCAGTGTAAGAGAAAGATTTGTGATGGACATTACTTTGCTGCGGTTAGGGTTCTTTCATCTTCTGGTCTTGCCCCTTACAATGATGCTACTCTTGCAAATTTACAAGCTAAGCACCCTTCCTTTCCGACTCCTATATTACCTAATATTCCCGTTGATCATCACCTTATTGCTACTCCTGCTGTTGTTTTGGACCAGATTAGGGGTTTTCCGCATGGTACGTCATGCGGTAGAGACGGCTTGCGTGCTCAACACCTGATGGATTGCTTGAGTGGTGCTGTAGTTGCTATTTCAGGTGAGTTGGTGGACTCTATTACGCAGGTGGTTAATCTCTTTCTCGCTGGGAAATGTTCTGCTGAGTTGGGAGAGTATATTGCTAGTGCTCCTCTCACGCCACTTGTTAAGCCTCCTGGTTGTATTCGGTCTATTGTTGTGGGTACCGTTTGGAGGCGTCTGGTTTCAAAGGTTGGGGTTGCTTTAATTGGTCCACGTTTGGAAAGCTATTTAGGAGGTCTTCATTTTGGTGTTGGGGTGCCGGCAGGTGGTGAGGCTATTCTTCATGCGGTTAATCGTTTGGTTAAGGCTCGTGGTGGTGATGTTGGTCTCTTTATGTTGTTGGTCTCTTTATGTTGTTGGTGGATTTCCAGAATGCCTTTAATTTGGTTGATCGTACGGCTTTGTTGCGTGAGGTTCGTCTCCGTTGTCCATCTCTCTCGCGTTAGGTTGAATTCTGTTACTCTACTGCAGCCAGACTGTTTTATGGGGAGCATACCTTATGGTCATGTCAAGGAGTGCAACAAGGTGATCCTCTTGGCCCTTTGGTTTTTTGCTTTGGTTCTCCATCTGTTGGTGTGCCGAATCAGGAATTCTTTTAACTTATGTTTGTAGGCTTGGTATTTGAATGACGGCACTATTATTGGTGACACCTTGGTGGTAGGAAAGGTTATGGAGTTGATTTTGGTGGAGGGACCTCGTCTTGGCCTCCATGTCAACATTAAGAAAACAGAAGTTTTTTGGCCCACAAGAGGACCCGCGTAGCCGTCTCGTAGGTGTCTTTCCTCCAGATAATGCTCGTCCTGTGCATGGTGTAAAGTTGCTTGGTGGTCCTGTCAATGCGGATTCCTCTTTTTGTGGTGAGATTGTTTCGCAAAGAGTGTCGAAGACTATTATGCTGAATGTTGTTGCTAAGCTTGAAGATCCGCAATGTGAGTTGTTACTTCTTCGTGCGTGTACTAGGGTTTCAAAACTCTACTTTTCTATGCGCACTTGTCCCCCTTGTCTTTTTGAAGCGACCCAGATTTCTTTTGATGTGGCCCTTCGGGTTTCTTAGATCACATTGTAACTGCCTCGGGACCTAGTTTTGGTGATTGACAATGGCGACTTGTCACGTTACCTTTTGCTTATGGTAGACTGGGTGTTTATTTAGCGGGTGATGTTCGGCACTATGCTTTCCTTGCGTCGCGTTTGCAGTCTACTGGTCTTCAGGCTGCGTTTCTTCGCAATTCTGGTATTGTTGGTCCAGGATCAGCCTTCGATGGTGCTCTTAGTCTTTTTAATAGGACTGTGGAGACTAACTTTATGAGTAACCCTAGTGAGATCGCTGCCCCTAAACTTATGAAGAAATTGGCAGATATATATTTCACGAAGGTCACTGCATCAACAGATTCCACTTTCTCCTTATCTCCACGTCAGATTGCCTTGTGGATGTCCTAGCAGGGGGATCACACTTCTGCCTGGTTGCGAGCGGTCCCAATATCGTTTGGGTCAGATTATGAATGGTAATACTTACCGTTGTGTTCTTTGCTACCGGTTGGGTGTTCCTTTATTCTCCGTTTCGACACCGTGTTCTACTTGCTCAAGGGTTTTTGATGGGGATATTTATGGGGATCATGTAGTGTCTTGTGCTAGGATGGTGGGTATTAAACATCAGCATAACGTTGTTCGTGATACCCTTGTTGATATTTGTTTTCGGTGTGGGATTTCTACAAGAAAGGAGGTTAATGTTGGGTTGATTAGAGGGAACGACAGGGCTCTTCGACTAGCAAATGTGTTGCTTTATTCCTAGGACAGAGGGCTTGATGTATGTGTTGACTTGACAGGGTCTTCTCCTTTAACACAATCTGGGTTGTCTGACTTTGTTCCTGGTCGTGTTGTGCTGGCTGTGGCTCAGCGAAAGCGGGACAAGTATGGGGCGCGTTGCACTGCTATTGGTTATGGTATTCTTCCTTTCTCATTTTCTTCGTTGGGGGAATTAGAGAAGGATGTTGTTGCGTTGCTAAAGCGGGTTCAGGCGTTCGCTACGACTCAGGATATTGGTGCACGTGCAGCTGCTCACATCTTCAACAAGATCAGGTTCGCTATAGCTAGAGGGGTGGGGGGGCAAATTGTATCTCGGCTCCCCACTATTTTTTGTAAATTGATTGACTTTGTAGGTTTTTGTTATATTTCTATAATAATAATAATGATAATAAGAAACACATAAAGGTTGTTTATTTACATCTGGATGTACAGTGTACTAAAGGTATTTTATATTTTTGTTTTTTTAATTTTGATGATTAATGAGTTGGTTATTGTTCATATAATCATCAAATAACTAAAATAAACGTGTAGTTTATTTCAATCGATTAGAATATACTTACCTACTTTTTTTTTTAGTTGACACGTATTCTTTTTTAGGATGTTTATTTTTAGTTGACACGTTCCCTTTTTGGGTAAGTTTTATACCTTGTTTTTGTAGTGTACCTCACTTGGTTTATCATCCTCTCTCATTCTTTCTCCTTTCCTTAATATGTGTGCCTAAATTGAACGCGTCAGCTAAATGAAAACAGAGGAAGTATTATAAATGAATGTTGTACATTTTGAACTACTTTCTTTGCTCCAAAATAATTATGATATAAAAATAAATTTATGTGATAATTATTGAGTGTTATAATCTTATTTTTTATTGAATAAAATTATAATTTAATTTGTACATATGAAATAATGGTATTTTATCTAAAATAAAACTCTAAACTAACAATTTTATCTTTAAAAATCTTTCCAAATTTTATTGAAAACAAAACTTTAAACTAACTTTTTTTCCCTACAAAGTTAATCTAAATCTATCCAATTTTTTTATTCAAAAAATATATTCAAATAAATCCTATGTGTCAAAATATCCTTATTTGTCGCCAACGTGGCGCAACATTTGGCGAAAAAACTGGAATAACAAGTGTCGTTGCCTCGTGGCCTGGCTGTGAGACCGACTTTATTTATTAGTGAAGTGATATGATATGATAAGGGGAAAAAATCAATAAATCAAATTAAAATAAATCTATTACAGCGTATATTTTTTTTTCTTTTTGAACAATATTACAATGTATCTAATAAGTACAAGTATACTCCTTTCAAAAAAAATAAAAATAATTACAAGTATACTCCTTTCATTCCATTTCAATCTTTACATGTGGTATTATACAACGTGGACTTCCTCCATTTTAATAGATGCATCATTTGCAAAAACATGAATAGTTAGGCTGTTTTGGGAGATGAGAGGGATAGAGAAAAAAAAAATGGATTCATGAGATATTAAAAGATAAAAAGAATTTATAAACTAAAAAGAAAAGTGATGCATTTAATTTAAAACTTTCTTAATCAAAAGTGATGCTTTTAAAAAGAAACAAATGAAGTATACATGTTTTTATTTATTTATTTTAATAGAATACGTAGAAAAAAATAAATAAAGGAACCAATGAAATAATAATTTCATAGTCATTTTTTTTTTACTTTTTACCAATACACCAATTCTTCATCCCTTAAACGGTTTATAAAAAGAAGAAACTCTGCCAGTGGGAATTCCTGTTGCCAGTCCCAAGCCTAGATAAAGAAGGAGAGTTTCGCTCGGCTAGTGACAGCCAGTGTATAACTTTGTCACATCCCATGACATGAGCTAAACTGATATTTTCGTGGGGGTGTTCCCTACTCAACGACGCGCTGCACTTCGTAGACTCGAGTGTAGTGATAAGTATGCAAGGGTTGCTAGGTCGTCCCGAAAACGACGCGCCACATTGCCCGAGTGTGGTGTCAAATGAGCAAGGGCGAGCCAGTGGGGCGTTCCCTACTGAGCGACGCGCTGCACTTCCCAGACCCGGGTGCAGTGATAAATATGCAAGAGTTGCTGGGTTGTCGCCTGGAAGCGACGCGCCACATTGCTTAAGTGTGGTGTCCAATGATCAAGGGCTTGCTGTTGGAGACATGAGGGAGTGTGGTATGAGGGAGCATGGGAGAAAGGATTCTAGTTTGCGGATTGGTTCTTGGAATGTAGGGTCTCTTACGGGGAAATCAGCAGAAGTTGTTGAAGTGATGAAGAGAAGACGGGTAAACAGCATGTGCCTCCAAGAGACAAGGTGGACAGGAGAAGGAGCTCGAGGCTTGGTTTTAGGGTATAAGGTGTGGTATGTTGGACAAGAAACGAGCCACAAGACTAGGAATGGTGGATCTAGGAACGGAGTTGGTGTTATTCTTGATGAGAGGTTGTCTAAAGAGGTAATCGAGGTCTAGCGGAAGAATGATAGGTTGATAAGGATGATGTTGCTATGTGGCAAGGAGATTGTGAATGTTATTAGTGCTTATGCTCCCCAAGTTGGTTTGGATGCAAAAGAGAAACGAAAATTTTGGGAGGATTTAGACGAGGTGGTATAGGGTGTTCACCACACGAAGAAATTATATATTGGAGGTGATTTAAATGGGCATGTTAGGGCAAGCCGAGATGGCTACGAGGGTGTTCATGGAGGCTTTGGGTACGGTATGCGTAGAGGGACGCAAGTGGTGAAGTTATTATGGATTTTGCCCAATCATATGATTTAATTTTGGCTAATACTTGGTTTAAGAAGCGGGATTCCCACTTGATAACTTTCCAGAGTGGAGCAAATGCAGCACAAATAGACTTCCTACTCACAAGGAGTACGGATAGACAAAGTTGCTTAAACTACAAGGTCATCCCAGAAGAGAGTGTGGTCGCCTAACACCGGCTTTAGGTTATGATTATTGGTTTGAAAGAGAAGGCAAAGAAAAAAGAAAGACAAGGGGAGCCAAGGATAAGATGGTGGACTCTAAGGGATGTAAATGCTAAGGTCTTTACAGAAAAGGTAATTAAAGAAGCGGACTGGGATGGAGAGGTGGATCCAGACATGACTTGGTTACGAATGAAGAACTGTTTCCTAAGAGTGGCCAAAGAGGTCTTAAGGGAATCAAGGGGAAGAATTTCGATGCAGAGAGATACTTCGGGGTGGAATGAAGAGGTGAAAGCAGTAATTAAGAAAAAAAGGGAAAGCTATCAAGCCTTTGGGAAAATGTGGGAATGATGAAACCTTTGCAGTGTATAAGGAGGCTAAGAGTAAGGCAAAGGCAGCTAGTCGACAAGCGAAAGAAAAGGAGGGAGGTTTATGAAAAGCTTGACTCCAAGGAGGGAGAAAAGATCATTTATAAGATGACAAAGAGAAGACAAGAGGCAAGGAAGGATATTGGCATGGTAAAGTATGTCAAAGATAAGAACCAAATTGTCCTTGTACAAGAGGAGGACATCAAGGACAGGTGGAAGAGGTACTTCGATGAATTGTTTAATGTAAATAATGGAGTTGTGACAGGAGATACCTCCATGAGTGATGAAGAAATCAACATGGAATATGTGCGGAGGATTAGAAGAGTAGAGGTAGAGATTACACTGAAGAAGATGAAGCCTAAGAAGGGGGTTGACCCTGATGGTATATCGACAAAGGTGTGGAGGTGTTTGGGTAATATTGGTATTGATTGGTTAACAGACCTCTTTAACAAGATATGGAGGGCTACAAGGATCCCGCAAAATTGGAGGAAGAGCACCTTGGTCCAGGTTTACAAAAACAAAGGAGACGCTCAAGATTGTTCTAACTATCGAGGGATCAAGCTTATGAGCCACACTATGAAGTTGTGGGAAAGAGTGATTGAACATAGGTTAAGGGCATGCACAAGAATTTTGGATAACCAATTTGGTTTTATGCCTGGGAGGCTGGGAGATCTACTATTGTAACACCCTAGAAATTCCTTTCCTTAAATACCTATTTTGCCCTTTTTAGAACAAAATAGGAAAATCTAAGGCATTACCGCCACCATGATAACGACTAAGGCATTTATCAAAGACACAGCGGAAGACATTTTCAAAAACCATTCGAAACAAACCAAGTTTAAAAATCAAACCAAACAAAAGCAAAGTCAAACCAAATTCAAACAAGTCAAACTTACAATTTGGAACCATTTTAGGCCCTTTCAAAACCAAATGAATATTTAAAACCAATGCGTTAGTCTTATCAAACAATAATAATAATCCAGCAATAAATAATAATAATGCATAGTCAAAATAAAACTAGAATAGGATTCGCTCTTCACTCAAACCCCAACATGAATATGCCGCTTCACTTGAAAAGCTTTTCTTTAAATGTCCCAAATACTCACCGTAATAAATGGGTCATCGTAGGGCCAAGATAAAGACTAGGCCAAACACACATAAAACACAACAATCAGCAATGCTGAGTACATAAGCGTAAAAGCAAACACACTAACATGTTAGCATCCTAGCAATAACAACAAAGCTTACCTTTCCTCATAGTTCAATCTACAAACAATAGATACAACATGGACTCAATACATTAATTATTTTGATTACGCATCAAGCGGGTTTCCCACCAAATCCCTGCTTCAAATAATTTGGGTAAACTACTCCGGAAGCTAACCAGGTAGGCATAGATGTCACATGAAAGTGACGAACGTCCTGCGCATAATAATAATAAAAAGGAAAATACGTCTTGTACTCCCAATAGAAGTTATGGTTATATATAAATCCCATAACTCTCCTCATATGTCTATACTCGAGGTATATACGTTCCAAGAGTTTTAGTGCGTAATCGCTTTCACTATACGTTATTTACATATCTTAGACTTGGTGATGACTCTCAATCCACAACACAATCCATCAACATAAATCATTCAAGTAATCAAACATCCAATTCAATTCTTGAATAATTAGTGATCATATTTAATTTAATGTTAAACCCTTTTTAGAACTACATCGGTGTTGAAACACCTTAAGCGCATAAAGCACCGCAAATCCTATCCCTCGGTGTATAAACACCTTAAGTGTACGTAGGCACCGCAACATAATTTATCCTTGTGTACTAAGACACTTAATAGCTCAATTCCCATACCTAAAAGCATCAATAAAAATTATATGAACCATAATAAAACTCCTTTCCAATATCCCAAACCTAATTAAACATTTAGTTTAATTAAACAATCCTTCAAACATGTCAATAATAAAAGTGTGGTCCATATACATTATTCCAAACATCATAATTTCCAACAATAATTCATTTTAAATAAATCATGCCTCCTAAACCAATCATCAATTCCAATCCAATTTCATACAACCAATCCAATCCAACAATTCCAATCAATTCCTAGCATGATACTAACTTGAAACTAATTAAAATAAATCCTAGCTTGCTTCTACACGCTATATAAAATTCCGAGTATGTGTACGTATCTCGAATAAGCCCTTAGAGTAGCCGAATACGCTACAACACTTCCCAAACCAAGTCTCATACATAAAGGGACAATCTATATTAATTACCCGTATACACAATTTTCAGCAATATAAACTCACTTTAAGCAACTTATAATAATCTGAAAATTATTTTAAAACCCTTAATTAAACTCCACTTTAATGGGTAATTTCACTCTTCTAATAAAACCATCAAAACTAGTACTCAAAATCTATTTTTGGCACTTTAGATAAATCAAAACCCATTAAAACTTCATTAGAAACATGCTTTATATGCCCAATTATAATTAGAAACATAAAACTGATAAATCCCCCAAATTAATTGGTTAAAGAACCCTAAAAATCAAATCTTTAATAAATTAAAACCCTAACTTTATAATGAATTCAAATATGAAATTAACAACTACAATAATCTGAAATTATACATAAAACCAATTAAAAACATGACTTGATACTAATTAAATACATTTTGAACAATTAAAAATCATAATCCAATTAATAACAAAACAAGAAACAGAGAGGAGAGAGAGAGAGAAAAGGATCGAGGGTGTCATGGTGGTGGTGGCTTATGCGATGCAGCGCCGGTCGGAAGTTTGGTAGCGGGTCGGCGGCTGGTGCAAGGCTGCGACAGCGGGTGGTCGGTTGATGTGGCTTGAGTTTCCCATGGATGCCCTCAATCTTACGTAAAGAAGAGGCATGGAGGGGAAAAGAATGAAAAAGAAAGGGAAAAGAAAAAGGAATAAGAAAGGTAAAGAAAAAAAAAGAAAAAGAAAAGGTAAAATAAAATTTGACCCTTTGACTTTTTGGGTGGGAAATTTTGGGGATCTAATGAGATCATATAGAGTAGGGTAATTTAGTGATATTTAGGCCTCATAAGAGATAATATGATGGAAAGTAATTGGCTTAAATAAATAAAAGAATGGTTTGGCTTATTATGGACATAAGCTATAATTTGATAAGTATAAAACTCATTTTTATTCAAATCTCATAATTAAGAATAATTTGACCCAAAATATATTTTATAAATAAATAAATATTTATAAAATTCTTTAAAAATTCGGGGTATCACAACTATGGAAGCAATCCATTTGATAAGACAAATGATGGAGTTTTATCGGATAAAGAAGAAGGCTCTTCATATGGTCTTTATTGATTTAGAGAAGGCATATGACAAGGTGCCAACAGAGGTACTTTGGTGGGCAATGTTGAAGAAAGGTATCCCACGAAGGTACGTGGATCTGGTTAAGGATATGTATCGGGATGTGTCAACAAATGTGAGGACATGTGGAGGGTTGACAAAAGATTTCCCTATTACAATTAGATAGCATTAAGGGTCTGCATTATCCCTTTTCTTTTTGCAACAGTTATAGATGAAGTAACTAGAGGAATTCAAGATGAGGTTCCATGGTGTATATTGTTTGCGGATGATATCGTTTTGGTGGATGAAACTAAAGATGGGGTTAATGCCAAGTTGGAGCAATGGAGGCAAAGGTTGGAATCTATAGGGTTTAAGCTAAGTTGGAGTAAGACTGAATATTTGGTATGTCACTTTAATACTGAGAGGGGGACAAGCGATGTAGTGGTGAGTTTGGATGGAAAGGAATTGACCATGACTGAATGTTTTAAGTTTCTTGGATCGATTATCCACAAAAATGGTGACATTGATCAAGACGTGGCCCACGGGATTAAGTCGGGGTGGCTTAAATGGAGAACGACCACAGGAGTGTTATGTGACCGAAGTATTCCCTTACAATTGAAGGGAAAATTCTACATGACTGCCATAAGACCAATGTTGCTCTATGTTACAAAATGTTGGGGTTCTAAGAAAAAGCACATTAAAACACTACTAGAAAATAGCTTAATTCCGACGGACTGCTTCCGACGGACCCAATATTCCGTCGGAAAAAGGGAAATTTACGACGGATTTTTTTTTTCGTCGGAAATTTCCGACGAATTCATCGATTCCGTCGAAAATCCGTCGGAATAAAAGTCCGTCGTAATTTTTGTATGTTCCGACGGAATTTTTCGTCGGAAATTACCTTTTCCGACGGATTTATAGTCCGTCGTAAGTTTCTGACGGAATATCCCGTCGGAACATAATTTATTTTTTTTTAAAAAAAACCATTTCCACTACAAAACCCTAAACAAACTTCAAGAAGCGCCTCTTTTCTCTTCTCCTCTCCACTCTCTCTCTTCTCCATTCCTCTGCTTCTCTCTCCTCTCGTTCTCCTCTCTGCTTCTCCCTCTTTTCTTCTTCTCTCTCCTCTCGTTCTCCTTTCCTCTCTTTCTCTCTGTTCTCTCTCCTCTCGTTCTCCCTCCTCTCGTTCTCCTTTCGACCACCACACCACGGCATCAACAACAACACAACCACCGTCATCAAACACCACGGCATCAACAACAACACAACCACCGTCATCAACGACCAACACACAAACGACATCAACCAACTACTTGAAAGGTTTTTTAGGCCAAATTCGGCCATAAACAGTTTAGATCTACACTTTTCATGGCCGAATTTGGCCTTGTTAAACCGTTTTCGTGTTGAAATTCGAAGCATATTTCAATTTCAGGTATGTTTTATGTTTTAATTTTTCGATTTTTCGATTTTTGTTTCCGTTTATTTTTTTTTTTAAATATGGATTTCAGTGGTGGTGGTGGGTGTGGCTGATGTGCGTGCGTTTAGCATTTGCAGTGGTTTGTGGTGGCTGTGAGATCTGGGCTTAGGTGGGGTCGGGTTCGGTCGGGTCCGGGTTAGGGTTTGGGTGTTTAGGTGGGTGGATCTGGGTATGGGTGAGGGTGGGGTATGGGTGTTTTGGTTAGAGTTCGGTCAGGGTGAGGGTAAAGTGGTGGTAGTGTTGTGGATAGGTTAGGGTGGTTGTGGTGGAGGTGATGTGGATCTGGGTACGGGTGGGGGTGGTGTTGTGGATAGGTTAGGGTTAGAAAGTGGGTGTGGTTGGGGTTGACAGGGGTGTTTTGGGTGGTTGGAGGTTGTCGGTGGGTGGTTGATCTGGTGGTTATCGATGGTAGATGTGGTGGTTATGGGTGGTTGGGGTGGTTATGGATGACGGTGGTGGTCTCCTAGGGCTAGGTTGTAGGTGGGCAGTGGGGTGGTGGATCTGGTGTAGGTGGTTGGTGGGTAAGGTTCTGGTGTGGTTGGCTGGTTGTGTGAGGTGGTATGGGGTGACGGCTTGCGGTGGTACAGCGTGGCGGTGGCTTTTTTTTTTTTGTTTTTTTTAAAGCATTTTCCGACGGAAATTCCATCGAGAATTTACGACGGAATTCAATTCCGTCGAAATTTTCCGAGGGACTTTGCCGGGCTTGAAAATACTCTCGGCGGACTAAAATCCGTCGGAAATTCTATCGGAAAACCCATTTACGACGGAAATTCCGTCGAAAAAGGGTGTTTTTCCGACAACAACTTTTCCGACAACCGGTTACGACGGAATTCCGTCGTAAATGGGTTTTCCGACGGAAAACAAGGTGTTTCCGACGAAAATTTTCCGTCGCAATTAACATGTTTTCTAGTAGTGAAAGATGGAGGTTACGGAAGTGTGCATGTTAAGGTGGATGTGCAGGAATACTCTAAGAGACATAATCAGAAATGAGATTATTCGCAAGAAAGTAGGTGTGACAAGCATTGCAAACAAAATAAGGAAAAATCACCTGCGTTGGTTTGGGCATGTAAGACGGAGACCCGAGGGTCCACCGGTTCGAAGAGTGGAAGAGTGGGACCATGGAGGGGTTAAATGAGGGAGAGGGAGACCGAAAATGACTTGGTTGGAAGGAGTTAGGAAGGATATGAAGTATATGGATTTGCATGAGGATGAAACATTGGATCGCAAGGGATGGAGGAGGAAGATTTGTGTGGATGACCACACAAAATAATCATATTTGGTTCTGACCCCACTTATGGGATTAAGGCTTTGATTGATTAATTGATTGATTTTAAGGGTAGTTATTTAAAGGACATTTTCAATTTTGCTACCACCAAAAGGCAGGCATTTCAATTTTGCTACCCCTTTAATTTTTTATTTTATTTTGCTACCACCTAAATCACAGTTGTTAAAAATTGCTACCACTTAACGGAATGGGTTAGGTTTCTGTTAAGTTTATTAAAACAAAAAAAAGAAAAGAAAACCTACCACCCTCAACTGCCACCCTCCCCCCTCCCTTTCCTCCACCTTTGCAACCCAACACAGTCACCACCCTCAGCCACCCCCCTCCCCCCTGCCGGCGGCGGCGGCCAAATCTTGGGCCAACACCGGCGACCCCACCCCAAACCCTTTCCCCCACCTACGCCACCCCTAACTCCATTGATACCCACGCACAAAGCTTAAGGAAAGGGGTAACATGTTCATTTCTTCACCAAAACGGTCAAAATTAGTACCAAAACGTTCACAATGCAACACACTATCATTTGGGATCAATAATTGCGCGAATACATTTGTGAAACAAAAACCCCAAATTCAATTTTTATAGGGTTCTTCGCGAAAATTTTAAAGGGGGAAGGGGAGAGGGGGTCAATTCAGGGTGGGGAAGGGGAGGGGGCCGATTCCGGTGGGGGGATGGGGAAGGAGGGTTGGGGCAGCGATGATGGGTTGTGTTGATGGAAGGGATGGGTTGGATGATGGGGCGTTGGGGTTGGGTTGGGGGGTTGCGTTGATGGAAGGGTTTGGGTCGCCGGCAGGGGGAGGGGGGAGGGTGGCTGACGGGAGGGGCTGGCTGGGGTGGTGACTGTGTTTGGGATGTGAAGGTGGAGGAAAGGGAGGGGGGAGGGTGGCAGTTGAGGGTGGTGGTTTTTTTTTTTTTTTTTAATAAACTTAACAAAAACCTAACCCATTTCATTAAGTGGTAGCAATTTTTAACAACTGTGATTTAGGTGGTAACAAAATAAAATAAAAAAATTAAAGGGGTAGCAAAACTGAAATGCCTGCCTTTTGGTGGTAGCAAAATTGAAAATGTCCTTATTTAAGAAAAAGAATGGTTACTTCTAAATAGGGTGTTTGAGCGGTAGTTATAAAATTTTCAAATTTTAATTTAAACATAACAAAACCATTCAATAACTACCTTAATTCATTATCCTAGAAAAAGTCTATTTTAATATCAAATCAACATCCTGTAGTTACAAATTTAACAAGACCTATATCATTCCATAGAATACAATACCTTGTGTATTTACGCACTCTAATTTCACTAATATAAAAAAGGGTATAGGTCAGGTTTTTTTAAAAAAAAAAAGGTTGTAGGTCACGAAGCACGAGCAATGTTGTAGTGGTGATTTTTTATACTACCTCTGTTACATATTAGTTGCAACTTTAGGGTATTATTTACGAGACATATATTATTCCAAAGTTGCAACTAATATGTAACGGAGTTAGTATCAATTTTTGTAAGTAACTTGATTTTGAACAAAGACAATTAAACCGGTAGACAAAACAAGTTTGACGGGATATTGACAAATAATCACTCCCAAAAAAATTTATACTTCATTCGTGTCGTAAATATTGCTAATTTCATTTTATGCAGTCTACACAATGCATCTTTAACCATCAATATATTTTATGCATTAACAAAATTTTAAAAAAAATTGATATTATTAAACTACACATAGTTAAACTATGAACCACTAATAATTTTATTTTTCGAAATCTTATAGCTAAGGTTATTATAAAATAAATCAAATCATCCATAAATTAAATGATACTCCAGTACTAATGCAATGCGGTACTTGGAAATGATTGAATAGGAGAATCACTATGGACTATAGCCATTGGTTTTGAAACTTTTAGTTCAATTTAAATTAGTCTAGTTTTTGTAGTTGGGAACTTTTTATTGTTATATTGGTTACTCCCTCTGTTTCGTATTAATCGCAACACTTTCCTTTTATATTCGTTGTATATTAATTGCAACACTTCTATATTTGGAAAACACCTACCATTATTTTATAATTTCTCTCTCCAACTAACCCCACTTTCACAAATATTTTATTATTTCTTTTTTCTACCAATCCCACTTATACTACTTTTTTTTATTATTATTTCTATCTCCTTACCAACAATACTTTTTATTATAAAAATTCTCTTTTGGACCCCACCCTACAAATTTTCTTAAACTTTGTGAATACCCTACTATTGCGATTAATACGAAATGAAGGGAGTAAATTATATTGTTCCTCACAACCGAAAGAATAAAAATTCAAAGGAGGGGTCATTTTTGGATCCAAGGTCAATTTTTTTTTTTGGAGTTTATGTGCTTTCTTGTTACTATTAGTTGCACTTGTTGCTTGAATGTGGCTGACAAAATTGGAACTACATTAGTTCCAATTTCTCTCTCTCTCTCTCTCCAGCGTTTCAGAAATTTCTATGGCCCGGGGCGAAGACATAAATTGGGGCCCTAATTCACATATAATATTTTAAAATAAAATAAAAATTGGGTAGGCAAAAAAATACATATTTTATTACGCATAATAATCTTTAAAAACATCAAATTTCATATACATAAAACATTGAAATCAAAGCCTAAGCGTTCATATGAAAATATTTCTACGAGCCTTTCTAAATACAAAGTCACTAATAATAGTTTCTACATTAATATGTTCTAACATATTTTTCTCTATACATAAAGTAGCTAGACCATTCAACCTTTCTTGTGACATTGAAGATCTCAAGTAGGTCTTTAATAATTTTAACTTTAAAAAACTTCTTTCAACAGATGCAACTGTCACCGGCATAGTTCATAAGATTCGATAGGCAATAGAAACATTTGGATAACAATCTGCAGCTTTGACAAACTCAAGGATTTCAAATGCTGACATCAAATCATTTGGCAAATTCATTTGTAACGCTTTCAATTCAGAAAAAAGATCATCTGCATCAACATTCGAAAAATTATTATGAGTAAAGGTAGTCATATAACTTGTGCAAGATTGTCTTAAATCGTCATTATCCAATGATTTCAACCTTTTTGCATCGAATAAAAAACCAAAAATGTTATCAAATACCTTCAATTGCTCAAATCTATTTTTCAAAGAAGCTATTGCAATATCAACAACCACCAAAAAATAATGGACTCTAAAAGATTCCTCGGGTGATTGTATATTTCCTCATCATTATCGTCATTCTCATTCTCATCAAATTGTCTTTTTCTAGTGATGCGACGCTTTATTGGAAATGTTGGCTCTATATCCATATCAAGTGCAAGGATTTTGGCAGTATTCAAACTTAGATTCAAACCCTTCAATTCTATATTTCTCAAAATATGTGATCATACCTTGCACTTCGTTCATTACACTCCAATACTCATGGATTTAGATTGCAACTTTTACTCACAATGTTAATAGCAAATAAATTAGTCATACCAAATTACCATGCCAAGTAAAAATTCAAAACTTGCAAGAGAATTAGCCAAACTTTCGGCTTCACTTTTTGTTTTAGCAATATTAGCGTCATCACCACTAGAATTATACAATTCCAACAAAGCTAAACTAATTTGAGGAGATTGAAACCTTATAGCTTTAACACTCTTAATTCGACTCTCCCATCTAGTATTGCACAAAGATTTAACAGTTAAACTCGGGACATTGTCAACTAAAATTTTCCACCTTTTAGTGGAATGTGCAAATAATGTGTATATACGTTGTACAATTCCAAAAAAAGAAATAGCTTTAACACAAGAATGTGCCATACCAAAAAGAGTGAGATTAAGACTATGACAAGCACATGGCATATATAAAGCCCTTGAATTAATTTCAAACAATCTCTTTTGAACCCCTTAGTGTTTCCCTTTCATATTAGAGTCATTGTCATAACCTTGCCCCCTTACATCATCAATATCCAGATCAAGGGACTTACATACATCTAACAATACAGAAGTATCATCTACTTTTAAGAATTCTAAAAAAAACTCTTCTATCTTGATTTTATCACTTGATACATTCACACATCTTACTATCAAAGTCATTTGTTCTTGATGGCTTACATCAGGGGTACAATCAAGCATTACAGAAAAATATTTTGACTCTTTTATTAATTTTATCATTGAAGTCCGAACACCATGAGATAAAAGATAAATAAGCTCATTTTGAATTTGAGGCCCAAGGTAATGTTTGTGTATTTCTTGGCTTTGAATACGTCTAACATGATCTTGCATTACCAAATCAAATTAAAGCTATCATTTCAATTAAGCCCAAAAAATTACCATTACTATCATCATAAAGTTTTCCACTAGATCACGAAAAGCTAAATTATTTTTAGCTAGACATTTCACAACAGAAACAATTCGAATTAAGACTTGCCTCCAACGCTCTTTTTCCTTTAAAATTGACTCTTGCAAGTCTTTATCAATGCCTTTATTCAATTCTAATCTCACTCTTGGTTCATACAAATTGTTCATATTAGTCATATGCTCAACACTATTCTCATGTAATTTGAGTTTCTCATCAAGATGTTTCCAATCATTCACACCATCACTTGCCAAAAAAGTTTTGATATTTTGAGATGTGAACAATTTACAACAAAAACAATATATTTTATCAGCTAATTTTGAGTAAACCAACCATTTTCTATCAAAAGTCTCACCATTACTCAACTTCTTAGTATAATAGGCATATGAAAAATGCCTTTATTTGTTATCAATTGGAAACACAAGGTTCAAATCTCTAATAGGTCCTTTTTGTATCAAAATATCCCTTCCTTTAATGTAAAGATTACCCCAATTTTTAGGATCATAAATATCTAAAGGAGGGACTACTTAATCAATGCCAACATCATTAACATCGGATGTATTTGGTACATTCGCTGGTTCATTCATATCAGTCGCATCCTCATTAGGCTCATTTGCCTCATTATCACGATTTTCATTATTTATATTCTCATTAAATTGTTCATGATTTTCATCTTCACCCAATTCATTAGAAGACTCTTCTACTTGTACTACTTTAGTAAAAAATTTGTCAATGGCACCCTTTTGAGATTCTATTAACTCTTTTGCCCGTTTTCTTTTTTTTTCCTCTTATCATTACCAGATAAATATTTTCTAGGCAACATTCTATCAAACAAAGCCAATAATAAATTAATAAGTATTGAAAAGAACAAAAACACCTGATTATTGAAGCAATTGAACAAAAGACTTAGTATGCTCAATTTGCACTCCAAACAAATGTCATCTCAAGTAATCAAATCTGAAAAATAGAAAACAATTGAAACAAAAATTTTTAGTAAAATTAACCAAATAAAAATAAAATTACATAATTACATTATGATTATTTAGGAATGAAAAAGTATAAAATTAAAAAGTTAAATAAGAATTAACCTTAGCATACTAGCATTTTGATGAAGTGATGATACCGTAGCTCTCGTTGTTGTCGACGGTCGATGCAATTAGAACAATCAAAGTTATCAAACGAACCAATTCAACCAATCAATAAATTAGATATTTTTTTCCCCCAAATTTATAATTCTTGATTGAAAGAAATTGTAAAGATTATGAAAACTTAATAGAAAGAAAAGATTTTGATGAATAAAGTAGAATATACAAAGAGGATTAGATAAATTCCCGTTGATAATTGAAGGATAAAATTACCGTTTATCATAATCACGAAGGAGAAGGAATTAATCTAACTGAAAATTGAATTGAGATACATTTTGAAGAAGAAAATCACCGATAAAAGGGGATAGAATAGAATTAATGACAGTTTTTTTTTTTGGGTTAATCAAAATTCACTTAGAAAAGTGAATATTTTGGGAGAAAAATTAGGAAGGAATTGAGGAAGGAGGTTGAACAGCGAAAGGCGTTTGAAATTCTGAAAGACTGAAACTCAATGTTTTGCTATAATATGCTTCTTTCTTTTTCTCTTTTATTTTTTGTTATATTTTTTTATAAATAATTATTTTAGGGCCTTTATTAAATTGAAGATGGGCTTTTGGTTTAGGGGCTCAGGACGGTCACCCCACCTGCCTTGCTACGGCCCTCTCTCTCTCTCTCTCTCTCTCTCTCTCTCATATATATATATATATATATATATGAAAAACAAGTAATCACCCAACATCGTCCTTTCTATATTGTTCGATTGCATTGAATTGCACCAAGTTGATTCAACAAATTTTAACAAACAACTTTCATAGGAGACAATCTCGAGGTTTCTTCTCTTCACAATTACTCTCTCCTCAACCGGATGAAAATGGTAACCGAGAGAGAATACGGAGAAGAATGGTCGAGAAGAAGCCTAGCTATGTAAGAGCATCCTCAATTGTCTGGAAATTGGGTACAAAATGGGAGTGACGTGGCCTGTGGCCTGAAGCAGTCTTTTAAGGAAAATTTGCCAAAAGTTTTAGACTAAAACTGCAATCCAAAGATCAAGATATAGTAATATAAAATATCTAAGTTCTTCTCAGACGTAAGTAGATCAATAAGCTTCTTACAAGTAAAAATTAACGCATGGCATTCAATGTTGTAGATGCCGCTGTAGAAACGTTAGACTATATGCAGAAGACACAAAATCGCCAACATGACAATCTTCAAAGTTGTACAAAACCTCAAGATGATTCTGTTAGAGACAATTTTGTAATACCTAACAAATTGTCTTGTATCATCTCCACCTCGCTTCTCCCTTCAATATTACGACTCTTCGTCCTAAACTTCGAAGCATTTCTGTTTTTTTTTTCATAGCTAACTTTGGTGGGCAAGAAAAACGAAATGAAGAAGCTACCGCCTGCACAAGTGAACCAACATGTTATCTTGGAAAGTTGGAATGATGGCTATAAGATCTATAGGAAATACATAGTACAAAACGAATTTTCTAACGAAAATGTTAAATTAGGATAATGTGTTGACCCTTATGTGTTTTGATGATGACTCAAGCAAACTTACACGTTTTAACATATGTCTATACGTTTTGTAAGTCTTAGGTTTCGAAGAGGGAACTGAAGTATGTGATGATGTACCTGAGGAGGAACGAGCATGCTATAAGACCAAGGAGACTTAAGACTAAACGAGAAGTTAAAATCAAGAAAGCTGGAGATTAGTTCCTCGAGGGAACTGAAGAGTGGAAGGAGTTATAAAGTTAATAGGTTATCATTTTAGCTTGTTGTTCGTATAAATTGTATTGACATTAGTCGGAGTCAAGTGGAATAGTTATCTTATTTTATTTAATTATATTTTCTTGAAATCCTATTTGATATTATTTAAGTTAATAATTATCTTTTGGAAATATCTTTTTGAACTAATTAAATTTTTATTTTGAGGAAAGAATTTTAGAAAAAACATGTGTTTTAATCAATCAAATTGGTTTAGAAAATTAAGGAAGCACTAAAAGAGTTTTGAGAAAAACGTGTGTTAGTAGCATTCACTTGCAGCAAAAGAAATTAACTTCTGCTTGCTCCTCAAGTTGAGGAACATGGAGATAGTGGAACCAACTAGACAGCTTAGTGGATGTATTTCTCACTCTATAAATAACGCTTCCTTCAGCTTGCAAAGAACACACTTGAGCATTCTAGCATATCTAACCTTGTTATAAGAGAGTTTATTCCACTTGAGTTTAAAAGTTTCTTTGTAATTTATATTAGAGTTTTATTAAGCGAGTTGTAATTTGGGTTAACGGTTTGAGTGAACTCTTTAGAGAGAAAAGACTTTGAGTGAAGTAAAGAGAAAAGAGAGAAAGAGTTGAGAAGCACAACTTATTGAGGGATCAGTCGTGGGGGACTTTGGTTCGTAGAGGAACTAAGGTCAAAGAGTCTTAGTTTATAATAGGTTGTTGCCCTATTATCGATTAAGAGCTTGAGTTAAAATCTGTTTTGCGAGGAACTAAACGATTGCACGAGAGCTTTTTACGTGGAAAACTTCTTGGCCCTAATCAAGTAGAAAAACCACGATCACTAGGGTTTTTAACTCAAACTCTTAATCAATAATAGGGCAACAACCTATTACAAACTAAGACTCTTTGACCTTAGTTCCTTTATGAACCAAAGTCCCCCACAACTGATCCCTCAATCAGTTGAACCCTTTCTCTCTCTGCTCTTGACTTCACTCAAAGTCTTTTGTCTTTAAGAGTTCACTCAACCCTTACCCCAAATTACAACTCGATTAATAAAACTCTAAAATAAATTACAAAGACACTTTTAGACTCAAGTAGTATAATAAACTCTCTTATAACAAGATTAGATATGATAGAATGCTCAAGTGTGTTTTTTATAATCTCAAGGAAGCGTTATTTATAGGGTGAAAAACACATCCACTAAGCAGTTAAGTTGGTTCCACTATCTCCATGTTCCTCAACTTGAGGAGCACGCATAAGTGAATTCTTGTGCTGCAAGTAATGCTACTAACCCACATTTTTCTCAAAACTCTTTTACTGCTTCCTTTTATTTGTTATCCCTCCTCTCTTTTTGGTTTCCCCTCGGATTTTATCTTTTCTTCTTTCTTACTCTTTTGTCCCCCCTCAGATTTTGGTTCTTTTTCTCTCCCTTCTCATCATCATCCACCACAACTTCCTTCAAATCTTTCTTTTTCCCTTTTTCCATAAACCTAGTTTTCACATCAACAACACATATTTTCATTAGATTAAGAGTTGAGGGTTGAAGGTAGTGTTTAGGCTTATAGTTGTGAGCTTTGTATCCTTCAAATTTGATACCAAAACTATCAAACAAGGTAGTGAGGAGATTACTATATTCCACTTTATGATTTTTTGGTATAGTGTGGTTTAGATGTTGAAACATAAGGGATGGAAAGTAGATTAGGATTTTCTTTTCTAGGAGGTAAATTAGCACGGCATCCTGATGGTTTGCAAGATCTCGATGTTGGGTAAGAGGGATTATGGCTTGCCATACAAACACAAACAACACTTTTTGGAGAACGGAAAATTATTTCTGATTTGTTTGACATTTATGTGTTTTGATGATGAATCAAGCAAACTTACACATTTTAACAATTGTCTATAAGTTTTGTAAGTCTTAGGTTTCGAAGAGGGAACTGAAGTATGTGATCATGAACCTAGGAGGAACGAGCATGCTATAAGACCCAGGAGAATTAAGACTAAACGAGAAGTTAAAATCAAGAAAGCTGGAGATTAGTTTCTCAAGGGAACTAAAGAGGCTTCAGAGTAGAAGATTCCTTGAGAAAACAAGGAGTTATAAAGCTAATAGGTTATCTTTTTAGGTTCTTGTTCTTATAAATTATATTGACAATAGTCGGAGTCAAGTGGAATAGTTATCCTATTTTATCTTATTTTATTTAATTATATTTTCCCGAAATTCCTATTTGATATTATTTAAGTGGAAAATTTGTCGAAAAAAACCTTTTAGATGCACCATTTTACGAAAAAAAAATCTTTTAAAAGCTTTTTGGCAAAAGAAAACCCGATTTTTAACATTTTGGCAAAAGAAAACCCGATTTTTAACATTTTGGCAAAAGAAAACCAGAATGTGAAGTTTTTTTTGTTGAAGACAACCAAGTGCCTCTAATTCACTTAATTAATCTCTAATTTATTCTAATTAACCTCCTCCTTTCCCCCTCCCCTTGCAGCAGCCTTCCTCCCCCACCCCTCATCCCCGGCGACCCACCTCCACCGTCAGTCGACCCCGCTATCCCCCTTATTCCCCGGCCTGTGCAACCCTCCACCTCCCTTCGAACATCTAGCTCTCATGTCTCCCTCAAACACTCTCAAACACAGTACCAAAATTTGCTAGGATCTTTTTGGAAGCTTCAAATCAAGTTGTCCCACACAATCAATGTATGTTTGCTTCAATTTTATCTTATAATATGCTCGAATTTTGCAATTATAATTTGTCCATAAACCCTAGAAAAATCGATTTGGGGATTTTTAATTTTGTGCATCTTGCTTGCAATTGAT